TGTCACAGCACTTTGTCCCAATAAAATCCTTCTTCACAACCTTTCCAATATGCTAAAATATCACATTTAATTTAAATTATCTTCATAACTATATAAAATGAGAGATGTTAGATTTTTTTCATTGCTGGTTTTTTATCTAAAATTAACCCATTTAATAAGGTCTTCCGGCAACAATGGAACACAGAATAATTTTTATGTTTATAATTTGCAGCTTGTCATCTAGGTTATCTAAGTATCTTTGGTGCTAGGTATTTCAAGTTAAAAGTCTCAGTTTTTATCCTTTTGACTGTACCTTCTGTCCACCATTCCTTTCTGATCTCTCTACATCTTAAATTGTATTGAAGTGACACACCAAGTATGAATGACACTTTTGATAAACAAAATGTCCAAAGTCAAATCATGGCAGAGGACTGTCTCGTTATATTGAAAGGAGAGTGCAAAACTTAGATCAATTTTTTCTGGAGTCAGTTTTAGCACTCAGGATTTGTGGAATGTTTTATTCCTTATGCACTGCTGCTGAGCTGCCTCTAACACAAACTGAAACAAAGAATCCTCACGTTTTCCATAATTAGGAGGAAAGTCAAATGTTCAGGTAGAGGGTGAAATATTTACTGGAAATGAAATTGTCAAAATTTTTTGACATCTCTATTTGAACAACACTTAAGTGACTTGGGAGACCACTTCAGGAAGAAGAATACTTTGTTAAAAAAAAAAAAGAAAAAAAAAAAAAAGAAAAAGTTCTAATCTAAATTAAACCCTTCTTTGCCTCCCCCCTATATTTGAATATTGAAAGGAGGGATAATTGCAAGATATATTCAATTTGCATTTGATTTGTTTGACTAGCTCCAACCTACACTATTAAGTGCTTTGTGGTTTCATTCAATATTTCAGCTGTCAGCAGATGTTCAAAGGGAACTGAAGTTCCCTGTACATTGTACTTGACATCAGGGAGTATGTTCATAGCTATGTGTAATAATGTCAAACGAGAAAGCGATATACAGTGATTGCAAGATGCCCATCATTGCATAACATCAGGCTTTGGGAGACACTGCATTTTCTTGCTGATATATTATACTTCTCTAAATAAGACGATAAACTGTGAGAATTAGGTTGCCTGGTATATGCTAGGGCAAAAAAAAATAGTGAGCAGGGAGGCATTCAGATATCCTTCTTTCTCTGCTAGAGCTAGCAGGTCATTTAAGATTCTTTTTAACACAAGTCTTTTGTTAGTCAGAATAAAACATTTTCTAAAGCTAACTTTTCTCCTGAAAAGCACGTTCCTAGTTGGAATGCTGTTTTTCCTTGTGTAACAACTGCTCACATGTTGTGGCATTTTCCATAATCAGAATTGGACAACAGATTGCCATAATTTTGGAATAATAATAATAATTTTGCCAAATTCATAGAATAGTTGTACTTCATATCTGAAAGTGTAAAAGGAGCTGTGCAATGAGTCGTTGGAACTGCAAAAGCATAGAGCAATCTGTGAGGTTCCGTAACCCAGCTCAGACCACCCTGACCTCACATTTATACTGTGGTTTTCATTTGGGCTGTTTTGTGTTATATAACACATTATAATCAAACAGAAGATCCGATTTTGTACTTGATGATATTCCTGCAGTCAGGGAATATCATTCTGCTGAAACAAAAGTCAGATGAAATTTTGATCTGATATTTTAAGGATATGGAAGTTGACAGCCCCCTGGAATCCACTCTGATGTGCTTAGCACAGGAGGAGAGCTCCTGCTGCATGCACCACTACCCAGCACCTTGACAGGGCAATGACTGAGGCAAACAAACATGGAGGAATTGGCTAAACAGTATTGCACATGTAGACCCAGATAAATGAAAACATACAAAACGCTTTGACACATACTTCAGGATGATCTTAGGTTGCAGCAACAGAGAGTCCAATCAGATTACTGAAATGAGAGACTGAGATGTTTGATATGTTTCTGAGTTCAGTCTCAGCTTTGGTTACATGTCTTGTCTTCAGGTACTCAACAGGCTGTGGCGTAGCCCCCATCACACAGTGACTTTGCAGGCGAATATTGAAGAAAGTCCTGGCTTACAGTTAGGATAGAACCCTGTGCTGTAGAGATAGACACATTCTTTTCCCCCAGTAACCTCCCAGACTGGGTCTAGTCTTGACGCTGAGGACCTTCGTTGTCTGGCTATTTCAATTTAAAAAAAAATATGGTGAGAAATACAATTACATGTGTAGCCAATTATTGAAATCCAAGGTTTTTTGTGAATAGTGCTAAACTGTGACAAACTTGAGTTAAAAAACTTACTCATATAAAACAAAGCTCTGTTTACTACTGCCACTATTTGAAAACTGGAGGTAGTACCTGTTACATAGTTTTCACTTCCAGGTCTGAATTATAAAATAGCTTTTTATAGTATGTGAGGTAGCATGAAAATATGCATATTGGAAATGTATACATTCTCATGCCTTCTAATAGTTGATGAAGATAAGGCACCTACAAAGCATATACCAGAACACTAAGAGATAAAATGAAGAAGAAAGAAGGGTGAAGACAAAGTACTCCCATATGCATTGACTACTATAAATATGTTATCTCAGATTAGTATTGTGTCACCTTGTTATGGCAAGTAAGTGTAGCACAATGTAAAAATTAAGCGTAAAAGTATAGTTTATTTATAAAATAAATATATTTAAATATGGAAAATACTACAGAGACCTATACACAGAAATAAAGAAAGAGACTTGTCTTACTCCTTCTTAAAAAAAAAGGATGCTGATCATCCTATGTACTATCCAAAAGACATTCCCTCTGTGGTTTTTAATATATCTGCAACATTAGTTATTTACTTTTTACATATGCATCACAAATGTCAATGTTCTGGCTTTGAAGGGATCACTGCTTTAGGCATACATATAATCACTTATACTGAATAGAAGGTGAGTTTTTACTCAGGTTAAAACAACAAGTTCACCTAATTTTTAGAACCCCTTTGTTATTCTTAATTTCATTAAGACTTCATAAAACCCATTCTCATATTAACTCTGTAGTATATTACTAATCTATTGGAAAATGATGAGGTATTTTGAGAGAAATTAATACTTTTTTTTTCCTGCATTGTACTGTACTTTTGTACAGTTGTACTGAGCCTTACACTTCTTTTGAAATGTAGCCTGATCAATCTTTATTCAGCCATGTAAATTGGATTCATACACACAGTTTATTAATTACATATCAACCAAAACCAGAGGAACTAGCTGTTGATCAGTTTGGACAGATGAGAAATTTAGGATAACTGCTTTGAGAGATGATACTATGACGATGTTGGTAATTTTTTTTTCTGAAAAAAATTTTTTTTGTAAATATCAGATACAGTGGTGTTCTTAGTCCCACAAAAAGAAAGTAAAGCCAAATAATCTGTTCTCAAATGAAAATTCTGCAGTATGCTATTAAAGAACAACAACCGCAAATAAAAGGCCATGCTAAATTACCATATTTTATTAGAGAATGTAGCAGTCACATTTCTTCAGAGTCAATTCAATATTTTTGGTCAAGTTTAAATTGATTACTCAGAAAATGAATGAAAAACATTTTGTAAATTGAATTTCAAGACAGCTGGCTGCTTAACAGGAAAGCTAAGTATCAGACTAGTACTGCTTGAGAGGTTCTCCAGAATCTTGAAAGCATCTAAAAGTATGATGATTATAAATTTCTACAAGTTTTATGTAATTATGCATGACATTTAATAGAAATCTTCCAAAGTGGCTACATGAAGCTTATCTGAACTCAAGTGAAATTAACTGTTAAGAGTACACTCAAAATTAAATCCTCCTTGTTTTGCACATTTGATATTACAACAGTAATTTTGTAAAAGGCAGTCAAACTGTAACTAAAACAAACTGTGCAATAGAAGCTATTTTTTAATTACCTATTTGGAAGTTTGGTTTAGTTGTATTTTCTTAATCCTCATTTTGTGTTGCTGGAATCTCAGTCTTTAATGTAGGTATGTGTTTTGATGACATTCTCTTGATGCTTTCCTTTCCAAACCTTTGATAAAATAAAACATGTTGGTCTGATTGGATCATTTTTTTAAAAAAAGAGTTGGTTTATCAGTCTTTGTTTTTGTTGTCTGAATGACAATGGACCAGAACAAGAGTCTACAGAAATAAGTTTTACGTTCAATATGATTAGATAACAGAACCAGAAGTCTATTTTTTTCATGCATGTTTTGTTCCTGCCAAAATCCCACTAGGTGTTTTAAAACAGAGCTTCCTCTATCATAAAAAGAAGTAATTTAACCTCAGGCAAGGCCTACCATTTAATGACACATAGATGCTGCATAAATTTAGACAATGCTGAAAACACAAATAGATGAGAACTTCTCACTGGCATAATTCTCTAATTAGATTGAAGCAGAGATTATGTACAAAAAACACTAGCCTGCATGGAGTACATTTGTGAAGATTCTGCATAATCTTCTGTTCTGTTACAATGGAACAAGCTAAACTACTGGAAGTATTTCTATCCTCTTTTATCTAATATTTCCATAGCAAATTCTAAACCTAATTACACAATATAACCTGTTTATTAATGCTATCGATATTTCTTGCATTTGAAAAGAAAAAAAAATCAATGAGAAAGTTAAATAATCTGACTTCACTCTTCTATTAAATAGTTTATTACCTTTGTCTCTTTAATATCAGCAGTAAAACTAAAGTCAGCCGTTAGAAAACAAAGGAGTATTAATACTGAAAGAGGTTTGAAGGTCCACAGATTGGTTTACTAAAGAAAATCAGAGGAGATTTTATTAACTAGTGACTAGGAATGGAATATGGAAAATACTGCTGCTAAATGCTTTGACGTGAGTCATTAATAGAAGGGATTTTTGGTAATTATGTATCTGCACTACAGAGGAGCACAATTAAAACAGTTCTTACATGCATAATCATTTTTTTTCCTTAGGCCTACTAATAGTAATGTCATTGACACCTACCCAGTTAAATTTCCACCTCTGCTTGTGTGCGCACTTATGCCCTACACATATGTCCAACTTGAGGAATTGCAAGAATACACACCAAGCATCATAGGACTACAGGGTAAGACTGTTTGCAGAACCCTCCTGTTTCTCTTGTTTCTTTTTCACCCTATTCTTCCATAAACTTTGATGGAACTCTGTTATTCTGGATATTTTGTCCATCTATCATGAGAATATGTTACAAATTACAGTTGTGATTCCTACATCTTAAGGCTCTTGTGCTGTAATTTGCTGTAGCAGCAACTACACCTAAGAACAGAAGTTTGTTTGGGGCCTGTAAAAGGGAGTGACTCACATTTTCATCAGGAAGTCTAGAAGCCACATAGAAAACACTGTTCATTTCCAATTCAGCATTATCTTGTCTTCTCAGTCCATTCTCATTGAAGTAAAGTATATTGGGAATAGGGCTATTTTCTTCTTTCAAAAAATTGTTCTGGACTTTGAGGTGTTGAGCCATAAGGATCTGTGAATGTCAGTTGTTGCATTGACCTCCATCAGCATTATCTGCAAACCTGAATAAGTTTCTTCCAAATTCCAGCTCAGGACTTTGGAGACAATAAAAAAAGTGCTTCTGAAACAGTTCATCCAAGGTTCTTTAATGTCTTGTGCCAATTCAAGAACAAAGTCTTGAGAGATTAATCAGTGCAATACATATACTAAAGCAGCACAATTCACAAGGATATCACTTGAAGATTTGTAGCCTTCATTTGAGGTACCACAAATTATTCAAATTTAACAGCTACTGTTAGTAAATGCTACGCAATCTCACTTAAATTCTTCCTAAAATACATTGACACAAGTCCCAGCTATTTTATTTGAGCTGGGTCTATGTTGTGGTGAAGATTAGCCTTCTAGCTGAACATCCCGGATATCATCCACCTCTCCAGCTGCGGCAAATGTTTTGGTTGGTGGGTATTTTTCCAGAAGTCAAACATTTTAAGTTAATGTAATGTTATACTATCACACTGTGAATTCCTTCCGTGGGGAAACTATTATTCCTTTGAAATAATATGTACAAAGGTAAAATCTAAAATGAGTTTCATATTTTACAGTCACGTTTACTTACTTTGTGTGGAGACTATACAGTCATGTTTACCTTCTTTGTACTTTGTGTAGACTTAAGACTGGAGGAAGACACTGAATAAAGAAAACAATGGTGACATTTTAATGCCAGCTGTTATGCTGTGTGATAGTGCAAACTCCTGTTGGAAAATGCAGCACTTACCCTATGTCGAGTCAAATGTACAACTGAAAGCTTTATAAATGTCAAAATTTAAAATTTAAAACTACAAGGCAGCCTAGTGTCTGTCTGCACACTAATAGTGTGTGTATGACAGCGTGGGAGAGGGGGCAACATATGTGCAAAGAGGGGTTTGAAAACAGAAATCTCAAATTCTGTAAGGAAGACCACTTTCCTATTTAAAACATGCTTCCCTCCGTCCTCCTGTGTTACTGAAATGTATTCTATTTTCTGCCCTAAATATATTAATTTTGTTATTTTGAATGAATAAATGAATGAATGAATGAACTGAATTAATATATCCCATCACAGTATGAGATTTTCTAGGTTAATTGACCTAGGATCTTTTAGGCTCCCCTTGCAAGAGAAGCTCTCTACTCTAGTGATCATCAGTGTGGCTCTTCTCTGCTCCCATTCCAGGTTGTGCTTATGTAGTGTTTTACGAACAGTGACTGCATTTAACAACACTTCAGTTAGATCATCTCCATAAAGGGAAAAGAGGAGGAGGAGAGTGGGAATAACTAATTCAACCTCACAGTTCATAACAGTGGCCTCTGACTGAAGATTTCACAGAAGTGGTAAGTAGGCTTGCTAGTAGTGAGCTCAGGTTTAACATTCAGCAGAAATATACCTGACATTCAATACATCTTCCTCGAACATGATGGACCTGTATTATATGCAGCATTCCAGGTGATATATTAGGAGTGCCTGCTCCAATGACATTAATACTTCCATATTTCTTTGTGAAATACCTTGCCTGAAAAATCCTAGGATTGCTTTTGACATTTTCATGGCTACTTCACGGAGATGGTTCATAGCAATCTTATAATTGACTAATACACCTAGATCTTGCTCTTCCTCTGACATTTCCAACTAATGACTTTCCACGTAAAGGAGAAAATTCTTGTTATTAATCCTCAAATGCATGACCTTGCACTTTGCTATGAAATCTCATTCCATTTCCTTGTTTCAGTCCTCAAGGTCTTTTTTTTTTTTTTTGGTCAGAGCAAGATTCTGATCTTTTCCTGCACTGACAGTACATTTACATTACATAATCAACAGAATTATCTGGCTGAATTTAGTACCAAGGTCTTCAATGAGAACTTTTAAGTCAGACCTAAGACCAACCCTTCAGAAGTTTGGTTTGTAACTGTCTTTGAACCCATATACCACTTTTTAATGTCATCTATTGTTGTCTTTCATTTATTTTGTTCCCTTACTAAATTAAATAGATTTTCCTAGTCTCACAAATCCTTATCAAAGATTTTTTTCAAAGAAAGATGTCAGACAAATGTCACAACCTACATGTGCTCAAACCATGTTTGCTTTTTGTTCCGCTTGTCATTTACTGATTCTTTCTTTCAACATTTGTTCTGTAGTTCTGGGTACTCAATAAAGAAGTTCTTAAAATCCAAGATCGTTTCTCTAACCTTTCTAAAACATTCCCACAACATAAAATATCATCCACAGTGTATTTTTTTTTCTCTAAAAATAGTCTTAGTCAGTTTTGCACAATTGGGTGTTAAAAAACATGAGGACCCAAACCATCCTGCAGATTATTTGCAGCAAAGGCTACTTTTGTGCAAAAGTGAGGCTGGCTGACTACTAGTATCATCTTTTAAGGTAAAAACCCAACAACTTTGCTCAGGCAGTTGTGGCATCTTATGAGCACTTGGAGGTGGGCTGAGCAAACTGCTTTGCTCCTGACCCCAGGGTGAGTAACTGAATAGTTCCCTTTACTTAAGATGTTTAGGACAAAAAAAACCATTTTTCAGGTCTCACAACATGAAATCATATTAAAATTCAACATGATTTTTGGTTCCTTTAAGAGTCTTGGATGTTCTTGATAGCTCCATTTATTATGCATACAGTTCCTATGTATGCCCAAAGGGAACGTTTTTACGGCAATTAGATTCTTGACCACTCACATCTTTATCTTACAGTCAAAGGAAAAGGAAACTCTGGCCTTAATCTTATCACATAGAGGTAAATTTAATTGGTCCTTAGATGATACTGCACTAATCAAGATGAAGTGGAACTTGTTTGCACTGCAGTTCATCTGGAATCATGATATTTGTGCAAAGTGAACCTGAAAACCTAGGTGAAATGTACAGGTTGTGAACTCTAGCTAGCAAGCTCTGAATCATTAAAAAACCATCATTTGAAGGTATATATCACATTAAGTTATACTATGCAGGGAACTAACCTACAGTGCTGTTTCTTAGAAATGTCTGTATGCTGTATGCCCTTTGGTGGAAAAAAAATACTCTGTATTCTTTAACAAGCTATTTTTGTCATAAATAATAACATCAGTTTACAACAAAATTCTGAAGAAACAGCATTTGTAAAATGTAATTAGACAGTAACAGCTAGTAAAAATATTCAGTCCAACGCATATATGACGTCAGTCAGTGGGGAGAAAAAACAAAAACACACAAAACCCCAAAAAACTATATTTCTTCATAAATCAGGCAACTATGCCTCTTTAGAACTTGAATAGGCTCTAATAGAGACAGAGTTTCTGAGCAGAAAAAGAAAGACCTAAATTATCCCTAATTGTGGCTTGGTATGCAAGTCATTTAAACACCTAAGCCACTCCTATGGCGTAATATGCCTGTTTATGTAGATAATATATTCTTTCTCTAATAACTGCAGTGATATTTCTTAAACATAAGCTTTTTTAACGAGAAATACAATGGAAGAGAGTATATTTCATTACTGTTTTATTTTAAAATGTTAAGAAAAAATAAATAACTATATTCATGGAGCATTTGCATTATATCAAAGTACATCCTGAACAGGCTTTCTATTGAATATATAATTGAAATATTTTGTTATTTATTTATTACTGTTGGCTATGAGTCTTTTGTTAAACATCTCAGAAATAAAAACATACGATCCCCCCTCGCTCCCCCTCCCCATCCGCCCCTAGGCATCTACAGGTTTTTTCAGGAAGCTATTAGGATTATGAAGAATGACTAAGAAAATTAATTAAAAATTCAATATACACAAAGGGTTGTAATTTACAGCCCATCAGGTTAAAAGTATTTCTCTTAGTTCATAACATGTTCCACATGTGTAAAAATTCAAGAAAATTAGTCTCAGTCCTATATATTATATTTCATTTTTTCATTAAAAAGTTACTTAAATGCTTTCATTAAGTGGAACATTTATTTAGATATTAAGGGAAATTATTTCTAATATGCAAATGATCTATTTGACACCAAAAGGGGAAAGAGGCAGTAACAATTTTAATTAAAAATTCAATCCTTACAGGATTTGCCCTCACCAACTTAGAAATATTGCACAGACGCTTTATTAAATTGCAAAGTATCTGGTTAAAAGCTATTCACAATGTTATGTGACAAATCATCCCTCTCCACACTAGATCCATTTCCTACGAAAGTCAGTGGCAAAATTCTGACTCTAGAAGGTAATACATTTGATGCATGATATCACAATAGTTTCCTCAATAGCATCAAATGGTGTGTTCTGGGCTTGTTTTAGATCTGTCTAGATGGATGTGCAAGGAAAGAAGAGGAATGTGACATACACAGATACGTCTGTTGTCCTCTGTGCCAAACTCTCGTTGTCCCTACCAAGGGAGAGTATATCCATGACACATATGCTTTTTTCCCCTCTCCAGAGCAGGGAGATGGAGGTAGAAGGTGGAGCAGCTGAAGCACTTGCATTATTTTCTTTTTATGTTGCTATGTGCTTGTTTTGCCTGTCTTGTCTTATGGAAAGGATAATACTTTCTTACAGGGAAAATCCATCAACAGCATAATGACTTGGAGTTAGCAGAGGAAGTGGACGCAAACTGAAGAAGCTCTGGGGACATTTGGAATCGTTTGAGTTTGCAGGGTCAGAATACAATTGATGGTTGAGGCAGGAAGGAATCTCTGTTCCCTCTTGTGTTCAAATATGGCAAAGACATTTGGGCTCAGGGTGAGAACCATGTAGCTCAGATTTAAAAAAGCTGCTTCTCTCCCTTCTTCTGTCATTGACCTTGGGGCATGGTCTTATGTAACTTTCGTCTCTGAGTGTTGATTTTTTTTCCTTTCTTTTTTTCTGAGCCTTTATCTCCCTCTCCATTTGAACTGTAAGGTTTAGGAGAAGTAGTGTCTCATGACAGGTGTAGTTACACTGCACAATGAAACTCACTTATCATCTAAGACCTATATAAGGAGCTGTAATATCAATAATTAATAATCACGAACAGTGCCTGGTTACTGATTCATTAAAACTAAAATTTATCCTAATTTTAACTAGATCCTGAGTTCCCTGTAGACAGGCCATACAAACCTACTTACAACCCTGCCAGCCATTTGACTAGTTCATATTATCATTGGACTTAATCTTTCCAGAACTAAATGACCTCGTGCACATCAGCAAAGGAAATAGATTGACATCAGCAAAAACTAGGGCAGCATGAGCTGTACCTGAACTGGTAAAATATCATCTTAGGAATTCTTAATTCCTATAGCAGTTTGTAATGTGGCATAAATCACATAAAATTGTGACAGAACATGGAAGCAATTCTCATTTTTGTACTTTGAAGGGATGAACCTTTCTTTCTATATTCAAGTAGCCTACATATATAGTGTTAATGCTTCTTTTTGTCTAAACTTCTTAGGAGTAAACCTAAGAGCTAAGAAACAGTGGAACAGAGAAAGAATGTGGATATCTGAATCAGGCCATCTGACTGATCCTCCAGCTCTTGACTTGGGGAAAACTAATTTAATTTTTTTGCCAATTCAAATAGTTTGAATAGTGAGAAACCTCTCCCCTCCTTCTTTTCCCAAGTTCCCAGCTCGCAGAGCTGTTTCTCACCCTGTTCCCCTCCCTCAGCCCATGCTGCCGGGCAGCATTTTGCCCTCCCTTGCCCAGGCTTTCGCCTGGGCTCTCTCCCACGCACCCGTGGCTGAGGGGCTCAGCCGTGCCCTGCGCTGGGGCCACTGGAGCTGCTGGAACCGGCGGTGTCCGGGCGGGGCAGCCCCGGCGGCCCCACACAGGGACATCCCGGCACAGTCCCCAGTGCTGCTGCCACCGCCGGGACACCTGCGCTCGATATAAAGTAAGACTCAGAAAAAGGTGCAAATCAATTGTTTGACAGCGTACTTTGGATAAGAACCCAAAATTTCAGAAAATTAATAACAAAACTCATTGAGGTTTTGGAGATATGGGCTTTGTCTTTTTTCCTTTCTTTTACTGGAGGCTGTTATTAAAATACAAGTCCCTTTCCTTTTGACTACTTTTTATTTGATCTTACTCTGTGGATGGTTTTAACACTGAGAAGGTCTTTTTATCTCAACCCAAGGAAAGGGCAACATGAAAAAGTATGTGTTTGTTCCTTTGAGCAAAACCTGTGCTATCGGGAGCTCTGCCTTTTGGGAGATAACCCTGTCTTTGCTTCTTAAACTCCATCTGAAGGGACAATGTAGAAGCCTGTGGCTTTACATGAGCTCAGCTTTTGCAGGCAGGGAGTATTCCATCAGAGAGATGCCTGTATGCTTCGTTGGTACTGAGGTAGTGGAGTTGGAAACCCAGTAACTATCTGGAACAAATGTGTGTATTT